GGGCCGGCCAGTCCTTCTGCTGGCACTGGGAGCCGCAGTAGCGCGCCACCTGGCACCGCCCACAGATGTTGAACTCGCGGAGCTGAAAGCACACAGAGCGGCGTGCCCGGTCACCCTGGGGAGCGGCCACAGGACCGCAAGGGCCGCTCAGGGCGGACCGAGGAACAGCCCCCGTGGGGAGGGCAGCCGGGAGAGGCGAGGGGTCTGCGGGCCCCACAGCGAGGCCAGGCCAGGCAGCCGCCCACCTGCTTCTCCATCATGGTGCAAGGCGGGTAGTGGCACTCGTAGTAGGTGCAAGAGGTCTCCTCCTCCTCCACCACGTCCCCGTTGGCATTGTAGTAGCGGGTCACGTTCAGCACGGGGAACTGCTCCTCTATGGGGTCCGTGGGAAGCTGCTGGATCGCCAGCCAGTACAAGCTCTGCTCCCTGCGAGGAAAGCCAACTTCGCATGCTCTGGCCAGTGGTCCAGGCACGGCGGTGACAAGGGCAACGCGGCGGCAGACAGCGGCTTCCTCTACACTGACGGGCAGCCTGACTGTCCTTGAGCTCACCCTGCTGCCAGGCGCACCTCTTCCTGACACCAGGCATTTAGCCCGTTTTAACCTCCCTCTGAAAGGTACTGGGCAGGGCGGCGTCAGCCTCCCTCACCACCTCCCTGTGCCTGGAGACCCCAGGCCCAGCCGCTGGGCCACCTCTCCTTCGACCGGAAGCTGCTGTGTGTCCTTCTCAGGGCTTCCTGCGTAGGGCAGGCCAAGCCTGAAACTGGAGAGTTCTACCTGGGGCGGGGCAAGCGCAGGCCGCCTTCACAGGAGGCACCACCTGCACTGCAAGAGGGAAGGGTGTGTGAAGCACCCCCGCCCCGCCCACTCTCCTGGGCCAGGCCTGGAGGCACCAGTACAGGGAAGGGTCAGCCTCTTCTAAACTCACCTGCAAAACTCACTCAAAATGGATCAAGGACCTAAACACAATACAACTCTTAGAGAAAACATCGGACAGAAGCTCCCTGACCCTGGATTTGGCAACGATCAGGGGTTATGACACCAGAGGCACAGTAACAAAACCGCGGACACGCTGGACGTCATGGAAATTCAAGACCTTTGTGCATCAGTAAAATGGCAGCCCACAGGATGAGGAAAATTACTTGCAAATCTTACATCCCACAAGGGGTTAACACCCAGACAATATAAAGACCTCTACAACTCAACAAAAAACCCAACAACCTGATCCACAATGGGCAGGGCATCGGAGCAGGAGTTTCCCCGAGGCAGACACCCAAATGGCCCAAAGCACGTGCAAAGCTGCCAGCAGCACCGTCCTCAGGAAGACGCACGTCCCCACCGCACAGGGACACCTTGCACTCCCAGGGACGGCTACTCCCACACAAACAGGAAACAAGTGTCGGCAAGGACGCGGACACACTGGAACCTCTGCGCACTGCTGGTGGGGACGTGAAACAGGGCAGATGCCGTGGAAAACAGCATGCTGGTTCCTCAGAAAGTGAACAGAATTATCATGATTTGGCAGTTCCACCACTTCTAGGCACACACTCCGAAGAATCCAAAGCGGGGACGTGAAGAGCTGTTTGTACAACTGTGTTCATGGCAGCATCGCTCACAAAAGGCAAGTGGTGGAAGCCACCCAGGTGCCCGTCGATGGAGGAAGGGGTAAACCAACGTGTGTGACGTGCATGTGTGTAGACACGTGTGTATGTATACCTAGGCACATATACACATGCAGTGGGACATGACTTAACCTTGAAAAGGAAGGAAATTCTGACACAAGCTACAACACGGATGAGTTCTTAGGACATAAATGAGGCGAAGTGACATGAGCCCATCACAGGACAACTGCTGTCTGAATCCACGAGGTCCCTAGTGCTGTCGATTCACGCAACAGCGGGGCCAGGCCTCGGGGAGGGGCCGAGGGCTCAGTGCTTATCAGGCACAAGGCTTCAGTTTGGGAAGGTGAGAAAGTTCTAGAGACGGATGGGGGGGACGGCTGCACAACAGTGTGAACGTGCTTAACACTGCTGAACCATGTGCTCAAAAGTGGTTAAAACGGTAAACGTTATGTGTACTTTACCACAGTAAAAACATTTTTTAAAGAAGAGTGAAAGCCAGGATGTGGGGGGACACTGGCTGCTCCTGAGCCCTGTGATGAAGTCCTACCAGAGACAGGATCCAGCTCCAGCAGCTTTGGAGGGCAGAACCTTTGCAGAGGGGCCCTCCAGCCTGGTCAGACAGCCCTCAAGGAGCAGGGTGCGGGTCTGGGAGGAGCTGAGGTGCCTGCCTCGCGTCACGGGCCGCTTACTCCCACCACAGGAGCCACCGTGCAGAGGCCCTGGGGACAAATGGACAGACCCCTAACGCCCATACCTGTGGAGACTCCAGGCCACACTCAGGCTGGCTCTGACCCCAGGTGCAGTGAACCTCACTGAGGGCCTGAACCCCACTGGCAAACCAAGGATGACCAGCAGGGAGGAGCCTCCGGGGTGGTCCTGGGCCTGGAGGAGAATGGGCAGCCAGGCCACGGCCCCGTGGAGGCCACCAGGTGGGGCAGCCCTGTGTGTAAGCGGCCTGCTTCCAAACAGGTCTTAACTGTGGTCACTTCGTCTCACGACAACAAATGGTGCTCAGACGCACGAACGTAAACCTCAACACTGGTCACGGGGCGAGCTGCCCAAAACAGGCTGCACAGCCCAGAGACCCCGGAAGGAGGCAGGCCATCTCTGGGTGGGGGCTGCCCCAGGTCTACACTGACTTGCGTGCACGCTGGACAACCCTGGGGAACCCGGTTCGCCTGCTAGGCTGCCCCTGCACGCCTTCCGACAACACAGCCTTCACCTTGTCTAATGAAAGAACAAAAACTCCTGTCCCCAACACGGGGGCAGAAGGGTGCTTCAAAACAGGCTCACTGGAGTTGATTCCAGCTCTCCTCATGCTGTGGAAAGCAAGCGTGCGGCCCTGGCGGCACCTCCTGAGGACGGGTGGTGGCTTTGAGGCTTCCACGTCTCAGCGGGGGCCAGTAAGTGTCCTATTTTCGCTTCAGCCAGACTGGGCTCCGTTTCTGTCGCTTGCAACTGAAAGCCTAGACTAACAGCCCCCAGGAAGGTGAGTCCCAACTCACCTCTTGTGGGCGGCCTCTCTCGAGAGCAGCCTCAGGGAAACAGGGTCAGACTGGAGTATCAGAGCAGAAAACCCAGAGCGCTGGAGACCCAGCCCTCCGCCCTCGCCCGCCAGAACCTGGTGGAGTTATGGGGGTGCAGGACACGCTCCAGAGCCACAGCAGCACGCACTGGACATGGCCTCCTGATACCTGGGGACCACCCCCCGGCCCAGCTGGCCATGTGATCTACCTCCTCCACTACGTGGGGCTTGGCAAGACCCCGAGGGTGAACGCTGCAAAGGTTCCACCCAGTCTCCATCCACCACTAGCATCAAGAGAAACACTGACCACCCCCCACCCCATCACCTTGCTGACTTCTGTCTGTTGGGGAGGTCAGCACCAGCACTGCCAACATCAGGAAAGCCGTTCAGGTGCCCCAGCAGGTGGCAGAAGCCCCTGGGAGTCCTTAAATGATCCCCATGTGGCCAGGGACACTCTGCCTCATTTTGGCTCCCAACTCCGGTCCAGCTGGTCCTCCAGCTCTTCAAAGCCAAGGGCTCCAAGAAGCTCACTGTGGGGCTGTTCCTGGGGTCCCCTACCGAGGGAACGTGGAGGCCAAGCGGCCAAGGCCCCATACCACACCATCCTGCTCCCTTAAACCACTTACGCAAATCATTTACAAAAAGACCCATCTTCATGCGTAGCAGCATCCCTGAGACAAAGATGTCTGTATCAAGTCCTGCCTACCTACCGAGGCCCCGCCCACACAACTCTTCTCCTTGTGAGAGCCAATTCAGAAGACCAACCCAAAAAGATAACTATTAAAAAGTTATCCTCCCCCAATGAAAAAAAAAGGACCGCCCACTCTCAAGGACAGTAACGAAGGTCCCTCAACCCAGAGCACAGAGCAGACCCCAGCCCATCTTGGCAGTGAGCTCGGAGGGTCCTCCCTTGGGGGCATCTCGGCCCCAGCCCCGGCCTCAGGAAGACCCACCTCTGCTTGCTGGAGATCTCTTCGGCCTTGGGCCGCCAGCCCCACGGCACCAACTGCAGGTTATCCAGACGATTGTCCACAGTGACCGAGTTGAGATGCACCACCTGAAACCCGGGGGCAATGCCCCCCCTGTGCCGCTCCCTAGGAAACAGACAGCTGTCCACATGCGCTCCTCCGACCCTCCCAAACATCTCAATTGGCCCCTTGTCACACTGACAGGCTCATCCGGAACCAGCCTGCTGAGAGGAACCCAAGGGTGTTGGTCTGCATCCCAAACGGGACAGGCCATGAGGACAGCCCAGCCCCTGGATTTAAGAGCTAGGCAGCAGGAAGCCAAGGGTGGAACCCCAAGCCATCCAACCCACAGCCTAGAGAACGCCCCATCTGAGTGGCCCCAAGTATTTCAGAACCTCACTGTTCACACTACAGAGAAGGCCCTTCCCCACATCCCACCTCCAGGCTCAGCAAAAGCCCAGTGGAGGGACCAGCCCTCGCCCTCCCCCAGTGGCTGTGTGCAGAGCACACATGGTGTGCAAAGACTTCCAAGCTGCCCTGTCGGTGTCATGCTGTCAGTCCTTCCCCCGTCCTGCACCCCCCCACCCCGGTCAGTGGCAAGAATACCAGAGTAGGCAGGAGACCTGGGGAAGGACAATCTGACAACAAAGGTGGGGCCCTGCTGGCTCCCCCCACCCCATGTACACCAGCACCCACCCGCAACCCGGCCAAGGGGGAAACGGCAGCCGAAAACACCCACCACAGCAGCTCGTGGAGAAGCCTTCCCGACCCCCTTCCGCGGTTTTTGTCAAAGGCATATGCGAATATCTTAGCACCATTTCCATCTGCGTCTACCTCCATCCGGGCCTGAGAAGAAACAGGGAAAAGGTCTGTTAAGAAGCCTCCAATTCTCAACAACATTCCAAGTTCCTCTTAGAAAAATGAGTGAAACGAACAAGCTGGAGGCACGAAGGCCAGGCCCGTCTCTGGGACCCCAGGGGTCTGCAGAGCTCCCCAAGACATGGCACCTAGCACCCTGCTACACTGAGCTGAGACAAGCTCGAGAACCCTCTTTGCAAAATGTTGTGGACACAGAGAAATAGGCTTCCTTGCCCTTAAAAAAGTCCCCAGCCCCCAGTAAGAAAAAAAGGCAAGCCCGTGAAAGAGTAAGCAAAACAGTGAAGGGCTCAGGACTATGGTGGGTCCAGAGGCTCTGGAGGGAAAAGGGTAGGTAAGGACTGGACACAGAGGAACAGGCGTCGGGCAGGGCGCAGTTGGGGCAGGGAGCTCAGGCCGGTGAGACTAGGGCACAGAGCAGCAGGTAGGCCGCAGGCCACAGCCAGAGAGAAGGTGGGGGCCTCCTAGGGGACAGAGGCTTGTCCACTGAACTCCCCATCACAAACATGACACAATTTCATCTCTTTCAGGAAGAGCAGGGAAGGTGAGCACGGCTGAGGTGGTGGGGTGGGGTCTCCACTGGGCATCGATGGCCAGGTTCTGCCGGGACCTGGGTTCTGGCTGGGGCCTCGGTGGCCAGCTTCAGGTGCTCGTGTGCCAGGTCTTGCCCTCACTTCACAGGAAGAAGAGCCAGCCTCCTGACCCTCCCTGGGCGGGACCAGCAGAGGGACGGCCATGCTCACCTCAAAGGAGTAGCCCTCCACCAGCGGGATGTCCTGCTCATCGATCAGCGTGTACTTGGTCTGGAAATTAAGGTTTCAAAACATTACAGTCGGAACCCGCATGAGGTACAAGAATAAGCAGGAATGGCCCCTTCAGACTAAGAGTGGCCAGCAGGCGAAGGGCAGTCCACCCCAGAAAGCAGGAAGATGTGCCAGACCTGGTCCTTCCCCCCTGCGACTGTGTGAGGAGGTATCAGGCTCCACTTCCTCTCTGCTCAAGACGAACCATAAGAAGAGCCACAGGACTGCCAGCGGCTAAGCAGTAGGTCTGCGTGCTGATAGACCCAGTCCAAAACCACCATCCCACCGGAGCCCGGGAGGGGGCCCAGGCTGAGACCAAGTATCCAGAAGGTTTCAACTGGCGTTTACTTATTATGCTGGGCGGTTGCTACACAGGAGCTCAATTGTTCATTCTACCTTTTGTCAGCCTAAAACGTCCCAGGTAAGTTTTAAAGGAGGCCATCAGTGCAACCGGTCACTGAGGTAGTAGGGATCTGAGTTAACGGGGAAGCCCACCCCACCCTAGTTAGAAACGAACATCCCTCCTGTAGGAAGGGCAGGACCGGTCCCTCAAATGGACGAATCTCACTCTTGCCTAGAAATCTTTTTTTTCCAGAATCTGAACCGGTTTTACCTTCGTCTGACCGCCTCTGCTCCTCTCCTACCAGAAGCTTCTGCCGCTGGTGATGGGAACAGGGTTCCCATCCAGGGTACGGTCCGTGGCTGGTGCAGCTGCACGGCCGGCCGGCTCCTGGAAACAGCCAAGCCTCAATGCCCACAGGTGCCAGGAAGCCCCAGCCTCGCACACGAGGAGGGCGGGGCCAGGTAAGGGAGAGAAGCAGAGGGAGGCCCTGCTCCGGCGAGGCTCACTGAGGTTCAGCCAAACCCGGCTGCTGCTGGCAGCACGAACCCTGCGCGAAGCTCACTACGGACCGGCAGGCACGGGGCGGCGCGCACACGACGGTCTCGGCGAGGAGCGAGCGCGCCACCTCGGAAGGACCTGCGCTCCCGCAGCCCCAAGCGCAGCCGCCGGCCC